CTACTACAACATCAGCTTAATTGGTTTTGCTCATAAATCGTTGACAGTTTACAAATTTCAGAATTAACAAATTGCAGATAGCAACATAACAGGAAAGTGTACCAGAAGACCATCCATCCAAAAAAATGCAGACCATAATTCTACTTCTATCTAGCCTGTCAAGTACACTCTACCTGTACATAATGCTTGATAGAATGTGTATACTGATAAAAACTTTGGAAAAATTGGATGTCTTGAGAGTTATGAGGATAGTGGGCTGGCAAGAAACATCACTGAAATTTTTTTTTCTGTTTTATTAAAAGAAGCTAATATTACTAATCCTACGTAATGACGTGATTTTCTTTAAAAATCACAGAGGAATCACAGGAGAAATTTTAACATAAAATTTTCTACAGGCACAGAAAAACCCCTCCCAATCCTGCAATAATACCCATTCCATTCCTCCAATACTGGCCTTATGTAATAGTCTCCATTCCAACTGTTCCATCTTTGACTTTCAGCAGTTAGACCTGAACTCTGAAATTCCCTCCAAAAAGCCCTCTGTCCCTTCACGTCCTTCTCCAGCTTTAAGATCCTCCTTTTTGTCAAGGTCATTGGTTACCCCGTCCTGATATTTCCTTGAGTGGCTCCATGTCTCTTTAATATAATTGCATCTCTGCAAAGCAAATGAACGTTAACATAATATAAATGTGAATTGCTGCTGAATGACAAACTGATGTCGACAACGTTAATTCAAGGCAGAAATTGAGAGATTTGCAATGGAGCAGTCTAACAAGACGTAATATTGCCAGTTGTGAGACTCGCTAACAAGGCCAGAGTCATTAGCTCATTTACCCACAGTGACACCGAAATAGGGCACATCAAGCAGGTGTTGCTGTTCCCATGCAACTGCTGTCTTTGTCTTTCTACATAACGGAGGTCATGGATTTATAAGATGATATTAAAGAATCTTGGCAATGCATCTTACAGATGGTGTACACATGCAGCAATGCACTGGAGCCTGCAGATGTATAATAGCTACTACAATCAAATCATTGCTTGCAAACCTAAAGCAATAAATTTCAGGACTGAAGAGTGTCCGGGCTACCTCACGTTACCCTGGAAGGGCAGGTATACCATGCAACAGCAACCAGAGTGGTATTTTCTACTAACAGAAAGTGACCATCAAGCCAAAAAAGACATTCTGCCTACCATATAAATGATTCATATGTTATAAATATTTGAGTGACAGTGCAATTCCAGACACAAAGGTCATATATCCCAACTAGTGGATCATATCATACAGCATATCCCTTTGGATGTTTGCAATAGGCAGTGTACTGACTGTCCTCAAACGGCCCCTGCTTGCACAACTTAGGAATAAAATGTCTAATTTCAGTGGCAATTCCACATTTTCAGAGCACTTGCTGAACAAACTTGAGTGCACAAAGAATTATAATAACAACTGATTTAAGATGTAGCATGCTTTTTTTAAACCTGGTTCTTCAAATATGGAAGCAAGCTTTCAGGACTTGTTACATCAGTCTGCCGAGGCCAGTGCCACATGGCAATCCACCACCCAGCTCTATTGATCTGAAGAATCCCAAACAGGGTTAAATGTTTGCCTGTGCTGTCTATTACTCCAGTCTTAATCATTATAAGGCGACCAAGTATTTGCCTTCAAGTGATACCAAGGAAGCCAAGTTTACACCATCAACAGTCTTATATAGTTACAACACCATGTATTTTACAAAATACAACTACACTCAACCAATTCCAGTCTCAAAATTTGATCTAACATTTCTGATCTGGACAAGAATACAAGTCTCAAATACAAATTCAGTTTGCTTAGGATATTTGGTTGATAAAATATAACAATGATGGATTCTACAATCCGGTGCACGGATGGATGCAATTTCTACAGTTTGATAGTCAATCTGTAGCATTTTGTGCTATTTTGTGAATACTGATGGCAATTTTTCAAAAAAATTCTTTCACAAGATATTGACATTGCTGACAAACCAATCATTTCTTCCCCAGCTTGAATTGCCCTCAAGCAGCTTGTCTGGTCATGTCAGAGGGCAGAGTCAAACACATTACAGTACATCTGGAATCACATATAGGCCAGATCCAATAACAAAGATAGACAGTTACTGGTGAACCAGAGGGGGATTTTCCAAAAATCATCTTTGGTCACCATTACCAAATGTAGATTTTAATTCTGGATTGTTTTATTAATTACATCAAATTTCACTAGCTGCCATGATGGGATTTGAACTTCAGGAGTACTAGTCCAATTATATTATCATTATGCCACTTCAGTCCCTGTATACTGGAACTATACAAACTTTGTTAATAAAACAAGTATTAAGGTGATTCACTGTGAATACTGTGTCAATTGGCCAACAGCAACACTAATGACTGTAAATGGGACAGCAGAATATAATAGATGCTGGAAAAGTGAAATTAAAATAACAGAAAATGCGGGAAAGAGGAAATAAAGAGAAGCCTGTATTAGCTGTGGAGTAGAATGATTAAATGACATAAGTCCCTAGCTTTGTAACTACTTATAGGGTGTTCACATGACATCTAGTTCTGAAGAAAGGTCATTTGCCTCTAGCATTAACACTTTGTTTCCCATTTCATGTTTTTCTGGTATTTTCAGTTACCACGTCAAGATTAACGGTTGCCTGGCAATTACAAAAACTGGTTAGTCTAGGTTGCTTCTCAATAACAATTTTCAATTCTTTGAAGTTTTTATTTTTCGATTGTTCATATTGATTCTTCTTTCGATCTCCAGATCTATTCAATTAATTTGGGTTTCTTCCTCTTGGTTTACAATTGCAACAATTTTTATTTTAAACTTTCCCACAAACATGAGGGAAATCTCACACTTTACAACAAAGTGCAAAAACAATGTTTTAAGATGGTTACAACGTGGCAAGATTCCCTTTATACCTGCAGTAAAAGTTCCTCAAACTACGTACAATCAACACAACCCTTTTGTTTCTCATACTTGCTGTAGGTTCTAATAGAGACAAAATTTCTCATTTGAAATTAGGAAAGTTTGAAATTAAAACTGAGATCTCAAAAAGTGGATGGACATAAAAAGAAAATACATACATGCACAGATGCGGTGCCCAGCAATCCCCTAAGGATTTTAAACATGTAAAATTTTAAATCTGATTGTGCCTACCTTCTAGTGATTTCACTGCTGCATAAATTCAAGAATTAGTTGAAGCAAGGCAAACTGTTCTCCCCAAAAGATACACCCACTTTTCTCTCAGACATCAGAAGCATAGACTATAGGACTAGCATCAGGCCATCAGCCCTTCAAGAATGCACCACCATTCAATATGATCATGGCTGTTTCCATTTTCTCCCCATACCCTCTGATCCCTTTAGTTCTAAGAACTATATCCAACTCCTTCTTAAAAATATTCAATGTTTTGGCCTCAACAATTTACTGTGGCAGAGAATTTCACAGACTCACCATTCTCTGGGTGAATTACCTCAGCCTTAAATGGCCTATCCTGTATCCTTAGACTGTGCCCTGGTTCTGGACTCTCCAGTTATCAGAAATATCCTTCCATCTAGTGTGTTAATTCAAAACAGGTGATATATAATTAAACATAGGTATAACCATGCCTAATTTTTCACAGAAATAAAACAAAAATCCTGTGCAATATACCACAGAGGAGTCAATGTCAAAAAGCAGAGGTTTTAGCATTAGTCCAAAATATAACAAATAATTTATTGATCACAAATTGCCACAGAGTTTAAAAATCGCAACCTGACAACATCATGAATATTATCATCAGTGTCAGCAAATTTCCGACATATACATTGATACAAAAGCAAGCAAACAATAACTTCTGCTGGAATAACTAAATTAAAATTGCTTTTAATATTGTTATAAAAGTATATTTTTGATTCATGCTTACTTTTCCACATTTCAAACAGTTCATGTGTTGGTTTCCTTCTCAAAATCCTAAACTGGAGTTGTCAGATGATTTATTTAAAGTAACGTTACATCTCACAGTCTGTATTCAGTACATTAATGCATTGATGAAAAATGATAGCTGCGACCATGTTAGGAGCCAAACAAATGCTACAGGGTTATAAGTAATATCTGGTGAATACTGTCTATAAACAAAATATGGTATAAATATTTATCCTAACATGCCAATATACATAGAGCAAGAAGCAATTCAACTACACAGATTGTGGCACTAAATAAAGAGTTCAAGTATTACCCTGTATCCAATTCACAGTGGCACAGTAAAAAAATAACAAGCAATAGTGTAAACCTTCCCCAGCAGCCACAAAAGAACTTATCAAATCAATATCTATCCACTGGTTGAACTGTTTTCCATTTGAATATTTTTGGTTGCAACATACAATGCTTAAATTAAAAATACTGGTGTCCCCCAGTAACTTGTAGCACAGGCAAACCAGTTACTCAAATCAAAAACAATAAGGAAACTTGAGCTAAGGGAAAAACCAAGCAGGACAAGTTATATAATAATGCTATCTTGAATTAAGAGTGACAAAGGATCATTAATTTAAAACTTGTCATGAAGGGTGAAAAGGTGCCAGAGAAATATTTCTATACTTTTTAAGATTGTTGACTGATTTGTCAGAGTTGCTGATGCAGATATCATTTCATCTTAAGGGAAAAATACTTGATGGGGAGGAAAACAAATGAGAGGGTGGTCAATAGCTTCAAATTATTCAAACAGCCACCACAGGAAAAAAAATGGTCCAAATAGTGTTCTTCTGTCTTGTAAATATTTTAAATCAATCTGTTTAGAAAACTTACGATACACCTCTGGAGCCTGTCAGACTTGAATCCAGCCTCTTGGCTCAAAGTTGGGGACATTATCAGTGTATCACAACAGCCCAAATTCCTTCTGTCTTGTAAGCTTCTATGGCACAATTAAGAATGCCATTTCAACAAAGTTCTAACATCATGATGGATTCATTTCAATTTCTAAATTTGGTGCAAACTCACCACTTACCAGTAAAATGCAATTTTATCCCCCAGGTTTTTCTCCTTGACATTTCTATCCAACATATTGTAACATATGTTGGTGGTCGCACCTTCCATCCATTTGATGTAAATTTTGCCTTTTGCGCCATCAAAGTTATAATCGAAGAAACTGCCAGTTTTGGGAGTTTTCCAGTAAAATTCTTTCGCAATTTTCCCCCAGAACTCTGCCCAAAAAAAATTAAAACATTTGTTTAAAAAAATTGCAACACCATGCATTTTGACAAATGATTCTGCTAAAATGAATGATTGAATTAGGGTAAACATCTCTGGTAATACTGTACATTGCTTATCAACGATATCAATTTTTGATTTTGTTTGGCGCAACTCCGTTTAAACATGTAAATAAACGTTAGATTTCAAAGAATGGTATCTTTGCAGATTATCACTGCTCTCTCCTTGGACTGGAAGGGTGCAGGCACGGGGTCGCTTTTACCACTCAATCACACACGGAAACAAAAATGAATATGTGCATACTCAAATAATATAGATGGGCGCCTCACAAACATGGGAAGAAGTGCCAGAAGGCCCTGTTACCTGAGAACAGGCCTCCTCGAAATGTCAAATTCGACACTCAACAAACACAACAAAACGTAGTACAAACGTGAAACGATACAGATTGGCGTGAAGCAGAAAAAACGTTCAGAACACGCTACCTTCCGGGTTCTGTACGGACTGTAAGTAAAGATCCTTGTACTTTTGGAAATTCGAGATATGAGCTCCATTGCTAACTTCAGAAGCAGGGTGATAGACGTCTTTCTCAACAGGGGTCTTGTCAGGGATCATGGTGGCTGGAATAGAGAGGGAGGCGGCTAAGCTGAGCCGATCACCGTTAGACAGAAAGGAAAAGCTGCCCCAGCGAGGAGAACCAGAAAACGAAGATGACAGTTAGAGACAGAGCCGGAGTCCCCAGGCTGACCAAACCCCGCCCACACCTTCCAATCCTGCCCTTCCATTGGCCGCAGCTCCGCCAATCACCGCCCGCTTCCTTCCTATCAGCGCCTACCAATGGCGCTGCAGGGATCCGGGAGCTCGGGCCAATCGGAGCTCAGCGCGTGCGGCAGGCCGCTACAAAATTCTTGAAGTATCAAGTCTGGACATCAATGCGGAAGTTCAGCTGGAGCCTGCTGCAGCTTCATGGGAGGGAAGCTAGTCGTCTAACGCCATTAGCTACAGGGTGCTTATGGGGGCTCCTCATTTACGCAAGCCAGACTGCAGGAAGGAAGTGAATGTACTGCAGCTTCATTGGCAGACAACGTAAAAATAGCTGAAAAGTCAGGTTGTGACAGGGATTCAAATGGTTTACAGAGAGATATCGATAGGTTATGTAAGTGAGCCAAAAGTTAGCCAAGGAATATAATGTGGGGGAAATGTGATTTTGTTCACTTTCTTCAGGCTAACAAAAGAACAATAATATTTAAATGGAGAAAAACTGTAGAAAACTGTAACAAAGGGACTCGGGGGGTACTTGTGCATGAAACTCATCTAGCACATAGGTGCAGCAGGTAATGCTAATAGAATGAAGAGGGTTGGAGCATGAGTAGAAAAGTCTTACTGCAACTGTACAAGATGCTAATGACCATGTCTGAAGTACTATGAGCAGTTTTGGTCTCCTTATTTAAGAAAAGATATTCTCTTAGTAGAGGCAGTTCAGGGAAGGTTCACAAAGATGATTCCTAGTACAGAGGGATTGGTTTATGGGCAAAGATTAAACAAGGTTGGATTCTTAATCAGTAGAGAAATCATAGTTACAAGGAAAATGCAAGAAAGTGGATATGAGGAATGTTGGTTCATCCAACTATAGAGAAGGCTTGAAGAGCTGAATGGCCAACTTGTCTTCCTACTTCTTACGGTCACAGTTTTGCAGTTGGATTCAGGTACTAGAGTGCAAAGTTGCTTTTCATACTTGCCAGATTTAAGATGTTTTGTATTTTTATTTATAAAATATATAAAGAATATTTTTCTGCAAAGTAAAGGGGGACTGAACAGCAAAGTATTAATGAAGGACAACTGTTAGATATGGTGCAACTGCCTGAAATCAAATTAAATCAACAGAAAATATGGCCATCTCTCAAACAAGAAAGACAACGTCCATGGTAGTGGAGGGTCAAGTAGAGTGAATAATTTTTGAAGTAGGTCTGAAATTTAATTCCTCTATGACCCTAGAAGTGCTAAAGACCACTAACCTGAAACATTGTTCAGAATTTTCTCCCCAAGTGAGGGCAAATACAAAAAACACCAGAGATTCTTGCTGACACTCACCTGAAGCCATTTACCTGGATACTTGTGGGTATCTACCCACAAGGACGTTGATGGCTGAATCAATAGAGGACCAGTTGAATAATCCAGACACCCTGCAGGATATCTGCACACTCACTCTCTCAGCACCAAACCGCCACCACTCTTCTCTCCGTTCCCCCCCCCCCCCCCCCCCCCCCCCCCATGGGAGTGTTGAGAAAGGACTCCTGCATGGAGGTAGTTGCCAAGGATGTTGGGGTGGGCAGTGCTCCAGGCAGGTTTTGAAGACCTCCTTAAATAACTGGCCATCAGCTGCCCTATGGAAGGGTTTGGTAGACCAGCAGCTACAGTAATTTTAAAAAATGAGACGTTAAATTTGATCCTGATTGTGGAGGCCTGACCCAAACCCTGTTCATTCAGTTTTTCTGTCCATGTGTATTGCCTGACCTGTTGTGTATTTCCAACATTTACTAATTTGATAAATCAGTGAAAGTGGGGGCAGTTTGAGAGAACTGGGGCAAGAGTTGTTAGCAGAGGGAGATAGAACATAGAACAGCACAGCACAGTACAGGCCCTTCAGCCCACGATGCTGCGCCGAACTTTTACCCTAATCCTAAGGTCTATCTAACCTCCACCCCTACCTTATACTATCATCCATATGCCTATCTAATAGTCGCTTAAATGCCCCTAATGAGGCTGACTCCACTACCCTTTCTGGCAATGCATTCCACGCCCTCACCAAAGAACCTACCTCCGACGTCTCCCCTATCTCTACCTCCACGCACTTTAAAATTATGCCCTCTTGTAATAGCTACCTCCACCCTAGGAAAAAGTCTCTGGTTGTCCACTCTATCTATACCTCTGATCATTTTGTACACGTTTATCAAGTCACCTCTCATCCTTCGTCGTTCTAAAGAGAAAAGCCCTAGCTTTTCTTGTAAGCCTTCCCTCCCTTCCAGGCAACATCCTGGTAAATCTTGTCTGCACCTTTTCCAACGCTTCCACATCTTTCCTGTAATGAGGCGACCAGAACTGGACAGAATATTCCAGATGTGGCCGAACCAGGCTTTTGTATAGCTGGAGCATAACTTCACAACTCTTGAACTCAATCCCTCTATTAATGAAAGCTAACACGCTATACACCTTCTTAACAACTCTATCCACCTGGGTGGCAGCTTTCAGGGAACTGTGGACATGAACCCCAAGATCCCTCTGCTCCTCCACACTGCCAAGAATCTTTCCGTTAACCCTGTATTCTGCTTTCAAGTTTGTCCTTCCAAAATGAATCACCTCACACTTTTCAGGGTTAAACTCCATCTGCCACTTCTCAGCCCAGCTCTGCATCCTATCAATGTCCCTTTGTAACCTAGAACAGCCCTCCGCACTGTCCACAATGCGACCCACCTTCGTATCATTCGCAAACTTCCTAACCCACCCTTCCACTCCTTCATCCAAATCATTTACAAAAATCACAAATAGAAGAGGACCCAGAACAGATCCTCATGGTACACCACTCGTAACTGAGCACCATGTTGAATATTTTCCGTCCACTACCACCCTTTGTCTTCTAAGGGTCAGCCAATTCTGAATCCAATCTGCCACATTTCCCCCTATCCCTTGCCTCCTTACCTTCTGCATGAGCGTACCATGGGGAAGCTTATCAAACACCTTACTTAAATCCATGTATACCACATCCACTGCTCCACCTTCATCCACGTGTTTGGTCACCTCTTCAAAGAATTCAATAAGGTTTGGGAGGCATAATCTACCCCTCACAAATCCATGCTGACTATCACGAATCAAACTGTGCCTTTCCAAGTGATCATAAATCCTATCTCTCACAGCCCTTTCCAATAATTTGCCCACCACTGACGTAAGACTAACTGGCTTGTAATTTCCAGGGTTATCCCTATTCTCTTTTTCGAACAAGGGAATGACGTTTGCCTCTCTCCAATCTTCTGGCACAATATCCGTGGACAGTGAGGACGAAAAGATCATCGCCAAAGGCCCTGCAATCTCTTCCCTCGCTTCCCATAGAATCCTTGGATAAATCCCATCAGGCCCGGGGGACTTATCTATCTTCAAGTTCCTCAAAATTCCTAGTACATCTTCCTTACTAACATCGACCTCCTCTAGCCTACCTGCCTGTTTCACACTGTCCTCCTCTACAACTAGGTCCCTCTCAGTTGTTAATACCGAAGAAAAGTATTCATTAAGGACCTCTGCTATCTCTTTAGGCTCCGTGCACAAATTCCCTTTACAATCCTTGATCGGCCCTACCCTTTCTCTGGTCATTCTCTTATTCCTCACGTACGTGTAAAAAGCCTTGGAGTTTTCCTTGATCTTATCTGCCAAGGTTTTCTCATGCCCCCTTATAGCTCTCCTAAGCCCTTTCTTCAGTTTCTTCCTGGATAACTTGTGTCCCTCTAGAGCCTATTCTGTTCCTCGTTTCCTAAACCTTACATAAGCATCCTTCTTCCTCTTAACCAGTCATTCGACCTCTCTCGAGAACCATGGCTCCCTCACTTGACTGCATCTTCCCTGCCTGCTAGGGACAACATATCGAGCACACACAGTATGCATTCCTTAAACAATCTCCACATTTCTATAGTGCTCTTCCCTGACAGCATCTGTTCCCATTTTATGTTACCCAGTTATTGCCTAAGAAAATTGTAATTACCCTTCCCCCAATTATAAACCTTACCCTGCTGTATGTACCTATCCTTTTCCATGACTACTGTAAAAGTAACAGAGTTATGATCGCTACCGCCAAAATGCTCTCCTACCAACAGATCTTACACTTGGCCCGGTTCATTGCCAAGCACCAAATCCAAAGTGGCCTCCCTCATGTTGGTCTATCTACATACCCTATCAGGAAACCTTCCTGCATGCACTGGACAAAATCCGCTCCATCTAAACTATTACAATTAAAACGTTTCCAATCAATATTTGGAAAGTTGAAGTCACCTATGATAACAACGCTGTGACTTCTGCACCTTTCCAGCATCTGCCTCCCAATCCGCTCCTCCACTTCTCTGCAACTATTAGGGGGTCTGTAAAAAACCCCCAACAAAGTGACTGCTTCTTTCTTGTTCCGGACCTCAACCCAAACTGACTCTGTAGACCTATCATTCTCGAACTGCCTTTCAGTAGCTGCTATACTAGCCCTGACTAGCAATGCCACTCCCCCACCTCTTTTTCCACCCTCCCTATTTCTTTTAAAGCATCTAAATCCCAGAACTTCCAACAACCATTTCATTGATGACCAGCATCAGCTTCAGCTTCAGCATCTCTCTGTACTTGGGACAAGTGCAGCACACTAGTAAATTTGAATAGCATTGTAATGCTCCTTTTACACTTCAAACAGTAAGGAAGTAAAACTTCGGCCTAGATTATTGAGTACGCCAACAATTAGCTATTGTTTAACATTTGTTTCACAAATCTGTGGAACATTGGCAAAGCAATATTTATTGCTCATCTCAAGTTGCCCAGAGGGTGTAGGAGCAAGCCAAGTAGTGAGTCACTAGAGTTATATGTGAGTGATGTGGTCTGACCCACTTTACCTGAAAAGTGTTAGTGAACCAGTTTGATTTTTACAGCTAAGGTGTAGCTCAGTAATTTTCTGGTCTATTATAAAATACATCAAATATCTAAAAATGACTCAAGTACATTCCTCTGTTAACAAA